TTATGAACTAGAATGAAGATGAATAAAAGAAAAATAAACGAGGGTATTATACAAAAGTTAGACAATTTAATACAAAAAATATTCTATACAGCACTGAACCAATGATGCTCAAACACATCTGAATTCTTGACAACAGATACCTTTTGATCTGCTCAAATCACGGTGATTGTCGCTGAATGTCTCTTGAGAAGAGAAAAAGATTCATTGGAAATATTACTTTGAACAAATATCTCCTTAGTCGAATTTATTTGACAATCACTTCCCTAAAAAGGATATTTCCCGTACCGATTTTTTATGGAGCGCAAATAATCGATCTGTAAATAAAAAGTTTGTTCGATATCCAAAATCGTTAGCAATTTAAAATAATTGTCTTAATAATTATCAGATAAAAAGTTTGTTCAAATATAGCGGTTTTAAATCTTGTATTTCAAATATAAATTAAATGAATTTCTTTTCGTTAGCAATTTAAAATAATTGTCTTAATAATTATCAGACCACCCCTCGTAATTGGCAATGCAAGCATTTCGTGATTTTCTCAAATAAATCAAATTATTCTGAGTATATTTGTTTTGTAAATAGCATTTGTGACCATATTCCTGCACACTTAATAAAGCAGAAAAGTGACATGAAATTCGATTTTTTTCTAAACTTGGTAACTTCAATTCATTGGGAGGAACATAAAAAAAAGGAAAATAATTTGTGCCAAATTTCCAAGTCATAACAATAAATGTTTGTCAAATATACCATAACACTACACAGATTTCAAATAATCTTTAGAATAAATACAATTTTATATAACAATATTTTTTACTACTCGATTTTCTTCTACTCCCCCACACGAAAATAAAAAATTGTAATGAACATGTTTAGAATTGCTAACAAATTTACGTAATGCAAAGAAGCTACAGTGAGCACATTCATGAGATATACACTAAACGAAGCAGAATCAATGTTTTTTTCTATTATCTGGATGTTTATAAGAAAAATTCGTTTTACAATTGCATTAAAACGACATGCAATAGTAAAAGTCAAATGTTTTCTTTTCAATATCTTCATTCCACTGGGTTTTCTTATTGCAAATAAGGCAATTCTCCTAAGGCAATAACACAGAAAACGTGTTTGGAAATAAACCAAACAAACATGTGGAAATCGAAATGGGAAATATAAAATTTCACTTTTCTTTAAATTCCTCCACAAAATCATGTTTTTATAAATGACATTGCATTCTTTTTTGCAATTTGCAGGCCACGTCGTATGAGTAACATTCTCATCTCTCTGAAGTTTTCCCCCCAAAAAATAATTGTTGTCGATATGTAATAAGTTTGTTGTAAAAGTTCTTTTCTCCTTCGTTGAACATTGTAATTATCGTTATTTTAAATAGGCAACGTCAAACGTAGTTGGGCCATAAATGTCGGAATTTATATGCCAAACACTTGTCGCTGATACACAAAATGAAAAGAAAGAAAAAACTCAAGTCAAAAACAAATGAACACACACCCTCATCATCAGCTTCATCAACAGCAGTAGCAACGGCAATGTGAAGCAACAACAAAAAAAAGTTTTTTAGTTGAGTTCTGAGAGTTCCTCCATAATTTTAGTATTTGTTTTTTCAGCTGTTATCATTAAACTTTAATTGGAAAAAGTTTCTTGGGTGAGGACTGAGCAACAGCAAAAACAAAAAAATGAATTGAAAAGGGACGAACTAACTGACTGACTAGGTCGTTAAAACAAATACACTGTGCTTTTTGCTAGTCTTTGGTAATTGTTGGTGAATATTATAAAATTTGTTGCTGTTAGGAAATATAAAACAAAAAGGGAAAACAAAAGAGTAACACAATTGGGCCAATTTCAAATAAAAGACCAAACAACAAAACGGTTGTCATTACCCAAAGACATTGACATTCAATAAAACGTGAAAAAGCATGAAATGGAGAGTTCATTTGAAAAATTCAAAATTGCTTTTTCTTATTTCAATTTTAAACAGTGGAAATGTTGTAGTTGTTTTTTTCGAATTTGTTGAAATTATTCTTGGCTAACTTTGACCTGTCTGTCAGTCAGCCAGCCAGCCAGCGAGTCAGTTGGCTTGAAATGAAATCCAACAGATAGTGTTTCTGTTGCTGTTTTAATACTCCGTGACCATGTTAAGTTTTCTTCTTATTTCGTGTTATGGCGGAAACTTCACTCAAAAGAAACAACAACCAGCATTTCCGTTTTGCAACAGCTGTTCTGTTGTTTCTTCTTTTAAGAAATTTTTTAAATATTGTTGGTTATACTTTCAGTTTTTCGTCTTAGGTACATCAAAACTTCTGTTTTAAGTACTGGCGTATTTTTTTCTTTCTTCCACTCTTCTACTTGAATAACTTGCAGCATGTGTGTGTGGGTAAGCTGCAACTATTTAATATAAACTATCTGTTTGGTAATTGGAGAATGATAAATGAGCTTAAGTTGGTTAAATGAACTGCAAAATAATTGCAATTTAATTTTGCAAAACAAAAAACATGTATCTACTAATGGAAAATTTAGGTAATAATTACACTGTGGAACAGCTTCACTAGAGAATGAAAATAATACATTGGAGCTAGAACAGGAATCACTCATTCATAAGTCTACAACAGGGTAAACATGGCGAAAAAGATGCAACTCCATAAAATTGATAATTTCGCAAAATTATCAAACGCAAGATAGGTGTTGGTTTAATAAGAATTCTAGCGGATGCCATACACTCTCTTTGTGCTACAAGGGATACTACATGGACCCTGAGTATATTGTTTCTTAGTATAAAATACTTTGACAAAATAAATCATGTACTGTCATAGGGTGATCAACATTTTGTTCTACATATATCATAAAAATGTGTACTTACATACCTCGGCGGAGAGTGTCTCTCTAAAATCTACGTGGATAGATTCGACGATAATATTCCAGCCGGTGTTGCAGTAAGAGAGTAATACCACGTTCGCTCATGATCGAGGACATAAGGATGTACCCTGTCCTTAAAGACCCTCTTCTTCAAAGGCAGTAGTCCTGAATTCATGGTTGTACTGTTAAACTTATTTCTACATAACCGTTGGACACTAATTCTCAGAGCCGCTATCTACAATGCAGACATTTTTATTACATTCTATTCTATTTTAGTATTTTTAAATTCACTTGCCATATTGTTGAAATCAAGTCTCATTTCAAAAACTTTTGGTTTAATAGGACTGGTATGACAAATACCGCTACGGATTATATCTTCTGTTATCTGCTACATCTCCAGTTTCTACAGGGGAAAATGTTTTTTGTGGTGTCGATTTTTTTGAATTTCGGAACAGTTGTAAGTTTCTGAAGAGATGTTTTTAACTGTTTCCGTTTCCAGAACAAAGCATTCCTAACTGTAATTTGGGCCGTGTTATTTCCGAAATAGAACAAATCTGGAATATAAAAAATTTTATTAATATAATTTAAATTTATATATAATTATCCTAATAAACTCCTCATGGGACATTTATCTATGCTATTAGTTATACATATTATAACAATTTAAATATATTTAATAAATTATTTAGAAATTTGTGATTGATGCATTAGAAATTAATTTATGTCTAGACCAAAAAGACGACACTGTTTTTTCTCAGACAAATAAAATATATGACATAGTAACAATCTAAGTCTACGACCCCGTAGGTATACACCTCTTTCGAAATCTTTGTTCATTTAGTATTCAACGAGTTTTTATTATGAATAATAAACAAAAGTTTTTCCAACAGCCGTTGACCCGTGTTAAAATACAACACAAATGTGTTAGAGCCAGCATTTAACAAGTAAAAGTTCTTAAAATGTCAACAGTGCCAAATGCGTTAATTAAAACTGATAAAGACAATTATTTTATGTTTCATGATTTATCTAAACGATTAGTATTCTCCAAGATTCTTAGCAATTATTGTATTTAGTATATGTTAGACAGAATACCACAGGTTTTACAGAAAGCTTTTAGATTTCAAACCACACATCTAAGTGGAGGCCAGAACGAAACATTGAGATGTACCTTTACTCTTCTCTTAGTATTTATATTTAAATTTAAAACTACATTCCCATAATCTTTTGTTCGTTTATTCTTTGGGTAAACATTTGACAATACAAGAATTTCCAGGCCAGTGCATAACCTCAACATTTGTACAGGTTGGTATTTGAAAATGTGTTTAAGTTAGAGCGTTGCAAGAATTCTATGAAAGACGCAACTTTGTGTCTATGATTTCTACTATTCTCATTCCATGGATACTCCCCCACTTCATGTCTCAGCCTCATCTGCAACACAATTCACTGATTCGTTTACTAAATCATGTTTAGACCTTGAGGTAATCCTCTTTTTCTTTCTCTCTCTCCTTCTCTTGTATATCATCATCGGCATGTTTACTTTCGGTACAAATGTAACTTTGTCTTTGACAATGTGCATTTATTTGCCTTCATTTGTTGTATACATTTACTGACACTGTTTAACTAGAGGTTGCTATAAAACAATGCAATAACCTTGGGCCGGGATAGACTAAACAGAGTTTGGAATGTGTAAGGCAAAATATGCAAAGAAAATTGTTATAAGAACAATGTAAACAGTTGTGTGTATTTACATGGAGTACTATTACAATAGGAAATGTAATTTTGTAGCTAATAATGTAAGATGATAACCTAACCTCCAATCGAAATAATATTCCTAAGATTTATATTCATGAAATTTGTCCTCTCTATTTTTAAATTTTCTGAAAACAAAAAATATATGAAAATTTATTTTCTTTTTGTACTGAAATTTTATTGAAAATTAAATTAAAAAAAAACTTTGTTATAATTCTAAATACTTATGATCATTCATAAGCTCTATACAAAGGAATATTACAATATATATAGACAATATAAAAATGTAGTTTTTATTTTCCAAGGAAATTGTAATCAATGGTTTTCAGTTAAAATATTTGGAAAGCAGTTTTAGAGTTTTTTTGTGCAAATACAAAGCACCCTTCTTCCACTCAACTCCTTTACTGGCTTTTCTTGTCTTTGGCTTCCAATTCTTTTAGTCGATTCATACGTTGCAACAAAGTGGGATGGGAATGATTCCAGGAAGAATATAGCCAATCGTGTACGGGGAAGCCCAAATTATCCAAATTCAATTTGATCAATGCTTTTTGCAATAGTTTAGCGTAGCCTAACTTCTGGGCAAACTCATCGGCTTGATATTCAAAACGTCTGGATAGCATTGTAAGGGCAAATCCTAAAATAGCATTGTAGGGTGCCATAACATAGGTCAAGACAATGAAGAGGCCAACCAGAATGGGACGTACTCCGGGTGCAAAGCCCAATGCCTCGTAGAAGGGAGCATATTTGAAGCAATAATTGAAGACAAAGAACAATAGCAAGAGGTTAACTTGCATAATGACAATGTTCTTGGTGACATGACCCAATTTCCAGTGACCCAACTCATGACCCAAAACAGCAACAACTTCTTCATCTGTACATCCCTTGCCTTTGTCTTCTTCTTTAACCTCAGTGTTATCCTTCTTTCCCTTGTTCAGCAGAAGAGTGTCGAAGAGTACAATGCGTTTGGAATTCCATAAACCATAAAAGTAGGCATTACTGTGCGATGAACGTTTGGATCCTTCAACAACATACAATTTGGTAAGGGGGAATTTCAATGATGCAGCCAATTTCTCAATGGCAGTTCTCAACTCTCCTTCTTCCAATGGTGTGTATTTATCGAACAATGGTGCAATAAAGATGGGATAAATGGTTAGCAATACCAACGATATGATACCAGCAAATGCCCACAAATAAATGAAGAAATACTCTCCACCCCATTGGACAATGAAGACAACAGCCGATGACAGTAGAACAGTGAGGATGTTGCTCACTAGCAGTCCTTTTATTTGATCCCATACAAAGAAGCCGGGAGTTTGTTTGTTGAAACCATGTTTTTCTTCCAGCACAAAGGTACCATACACTTTGAAGGCCAGCTCCTTAACATAACCGTACAAGCCAATGACAACAACAAATACACAGCTGACAAGTATTTCATTGTTAACATCAAAATTGAATTTGGCCACCAGATCCAATGATGTCTGCCAGAATAGGGAAATAATACCGAAATACAGTTCCAAGGGGATGACAATTACATCGAGCAGAAAGCTTTTGAAAATGCCAAATTGTTCTCTATCCAAGCCATAAACACGAGCTTTGTTAAATGTTTCGTCGTTCATGTGATCTTTAAGTTCGGCGGGTACATTCTTGGCTGTTTTGTAGACCTTGACCTAAAAGACACACAAAATTTTTTTTTGGAAGGTTGCATTAAATGATTTAAGGAATTTCGATATCCAACTAATATCATATTTATTATTTATAGATGCAGTATGCATATACCACACACAAAATTTACATACAGTGATATTAGAGAATGATAAAAAGAACATGTTTTCGATGGCGTCGTTTTAGTACGATTTCTAATAAAACATAAATAATTTAATAGTTTTAAATTTGGAATAAATTAGTGAAAACACAAAATGATGATACAAACACAAATGAATAATGTAAGGTTTTATGATTGTGAAAGATCTTTATTAAAGTTGGCATCCATATTTGAAATAACACTCACCTGTCTCAAGGATATATAAATTTCGAAAAGATTCTCAAATATACATAGGAATATAATTGCATACAATACTAGTTCAGCTTCCGATAACCCCATCGTGGCTGATTTCTTCGAAATAATCTGAAAATATAGAAAAAATTCATCAGTTACTTATGTTATAAAGGAAGTATTTAGATGTATCGTAAAACTAGTGCTACAATAAAATGTTAATGTTGCGTTTCAACCAAGGAGCCACTCCCATTCACCTCGGTCCACGCATATATGGTAGCCACAGTCCACAGGATGATCCATGTGCATATCATAGGTGTATCATTGGAAAACACAAGTTTCAATATATACTTTTCTAGAAAAGAGGAGCACTTCTTAAATTTACTTCGGTAAAAGCTTCCTTTCGAATTAACCACTGCCCCTAAATAATCTAAGGGCTCCATTGGAAATGGACTATTAAGGACAATAACATACTTTCCTAATACCAAAACCATATGAGATAGCAATTACTTTGGTTATCGATTATTTATACGAGATCCTTGTTTCCATACTCTACCCATGCTGATGGAATGCTGAAGATAAATGGTCCAACAATATCTACACCAAATCCGGAATGTGTATTCCATAGAGTTACCGGTCAGAAAATTGCTGCAGAAAATCGGCGCCAAGGCATTAACAACATCGTAGGTGTTGACATAGTTTCGATATAACAAATAGAATATGGGACGCTGACCCATCAGTTAATGGTTAATTGCTTGCTGGCTGGCTTAGTAAATATCATATGTCATGATAAGTGGAACGAACATATGCATGCAATTGATAGAGGGCAATGGAGTAGTGTGACTCATATAGGATTTATTAGACAACTCGTGGTCGCAGTGGATGCGAAAAAAGAAGGAAAACTGTTAATTTTTTAATTTTATTCAATTCAATACTTACAACTTTCGAAAATACACGTATAAATTAATTTTATATTCTGCTCGCAAATGAACAATAAACAACCAACAACAACGCTATCAATCGGCAAAGTAATTTGAAGCCGGCAGCAACATGCCGGTAACGCCGTTGTATGTTGTTGAATGATTGGCCACAAGGGCACACATCAAATTTTGTTATCAGTTCGTAGGCTTTGTTGTATGTATAAGTTGATTCCATTGCATATAAATCAGATGAATTTCCAAAAATATATAAGACCGTCAAGAAGAATCTTGTCTGATTGTCAAAGTATTTTTTGATGATTAAATAAATAAATAAAATAATTTTGTTATTTGAATTTTGTCTTATAAGGGCAGAGATCATTTTAATTAAATTTTTAAGTGAGTTATTTATACTCTTTCGAGTCGAGCTTAAAGATCTAAGTTTCATTGCAAAGCTTAGATCATTAAGCTCGACTCGAAAGAATATGAATAATTCACTTAAAAATTAAATTTCACATAAAAATAATTTCGTCTAAGAAAATATATATAAATATTATACAAATTTGTTAGTATAAAGTGGATTTTTGGACTGACAGGAACACAACTATTATATATAATATAACAATGATATGGCCCATGGCCTATAAATAAGGTCACCAACGGAGACCAGCTGATTATCGATACCTCTCAAGTTTGCTGTCAAAATGTATTATTGTGAATTGACTTCCATTATGAAAACGTAAATAAAGTCGAAATTTTTGACATTAGACTTGAGAAAAAACGGCTGTTTTCCGATTTCGATTGCTATCTTGGTGACCTTATTAATAGATCTTGATATGGCCTATAAAGACCAGCTGATAATCGATACCTCTCAAGTTTGCTGTCAAAAAGGCATTATTGTGAATTGACTTTCATTATGAAAACGTAAACAAAGTCGAAATTTTTGACATTAGACTTCAGAAAAAACAATAATGCATTTTGACAGCAAACTTGAGAGGTATCGATTATCAGCTGGTCTCCCTGGGTGACCTTATGTATAGGCCATGGGCCATGCTATCAATCATGGCCATGCTATCAATCGATATTGGATAAAAAAAAAGAATCGATACTATCGATATTACCATCGTTTTTCATACAGCTGGTCAGTAACAATAAAACATCAAAGCGTCGTATTCTATGGCGAATTTTAAAAAATTATTTATGGAATTTTTCACTTGAAAGTGTATTAAATTTATATATGAAAAATACGCAAAAATATTGACAATTAACTTCAGCGACTGTTGATACACAATTGCACATGAAATGCGGCAGTCAGCAACGAAGAAGAACATAAGTGGCCGGAGTCAGATGTCACCGGAACCTGATGACAACAATAGTCGACACAATTTAAGTGGTTCCAGTACCGGTTCAAATAAAGGCAGGAAAAGGTTTGTAGAGAATAAGGACACACTTTGTTTTAAATATTTCACAGCTACTCTGTGATTTTGCTCCTATGTGCGGTGGAATGTCTTTGCCCCCTTCAAAGGAATCCTAAACAACTATTGTGATTGAAATACATAGCATTTGCTTTTATTTTTATTTTTTAAATAACAAAAATAAAATAAATAAACACTCGTCTTCTAATATAAACTTTACAGAAAACGTTGTGAAATACTGACCATCAGTGATTTTGAATCCGAATTTGAGGACTGCGATTTGGAAGATGCTGTTGCATTGGAAACAAGGCTACGTAAAGTGGCGCGAAAAAATGCATTGTCTCATGATGAAATGATGAAACTTTTGCATGTAAGTTCAAATATTTGTAACTAAATAAATGTCTCTATCTAATATGGTCCATTTCACTTCCAGAAATTCGTAAAGAATGAACACATTCTAGCCCTTATAACATTGAAAGCTGAAGATGAGCTGGCTCGGGAAAAGCTTGAGGCGGAACAAAGGGCTATTATAATAACAGATACACCATCGATTCCAAAATTAACACGCTCCAAAGCAAAAGAATTGAAAAAGCAACCTATTATTTCATTACCCAAAATCCTAAGTGCTGAGCAAACAGAAATAGCATCATTGATCAATGAAGAACTGAACTCTGACGAAGAAGATGAAGAGTACACATTCAAAGAGGAAGATTTTGTGGTAAGTGGGATATTTAATGCAAACTTAATTTGATTCCATAAGGAGTTGTCTTTTACAGTCTGATGATGATCCCAACACAACTGCATCTGATTTGGATTCCAATCCACGAACACCTCAAACCCCAGCCATTCAAGCCGAAGCAGATGATTCGCCTGTAAAGTTAACTGAGGATGGTTGTTTTAAGGTACCATTGAACAAAAAGGGTCCACAGGAAGAACTTAGGATTGCAACAAGAACACGTTCGAAATTATGTCTGCAACAGACCACAATAGAGGATATTGAATCGGAATTTGTACCGCCCGATGTTGACTATACGGAGCCAACAGAACCAGACTCTCAAGCCGTGGATGAAGATTGGAATCAATTCTTAAATGATTTTTTAAAACCACTAAGTATGTTTTTCAATGTAATCTAAATGTAAATAAACTTAAATTTCATTTACTCTTATTCAGATTCTAGCTTAGTAGGAGATGATGATGATCCCATCAATGATCCTGAATATGTTGCAGCTGAAAAAGAATTAGGTATGTCAATTGTTTTTTATTTGATATCCATGTACTTATGATTTTCATTCAAAATTGTTTAAGAATTTGAGAATGCAAAAAGGTTTTGCAATTATTAAAATAAAAATTCCTGAAAAGTCTGATGATTTTATTTTACATATTTCCAGTTGACGCTGAAGAATTGAGAGATGTAAATATTTCGAAAAAGGAAATTGCAGAGTTAATGACTGAACTTTTAAGTAACCTCAACGAGGGCATATCATTTGAAAGTATTGAACTAGAAACACCGCGCAAATTTCTATCAGCCTATCAAGATGAGCCATTAAATACTCCACACAACTCCCCAGAAAAAGTGGACGAACCTGTTGATGCTGTAAGTCGGCAATTACAATTTGAAGAGCAGCCAACAAGTCAACAACAACAGGCGCAAAACCCACAAGAATCCATACCAGAATCAACATCATGTTCCATGATATCATCAAATAATGTTACACAGCAGAATATATCCTTTCACCCTGATGTTATGTCAACTCCTTCCACAACGCACAATGTTCAGAGTAACATTGAACAAACCGAGGCGAATGATGAAACGGTAACAATGATTCCAGTGGCTACACCAAAAAAGAATGCCGACAACTCACCCACAAGCACGGTCACTATTCCCAGTAACAATATAAATACTCAAGTTGATGTTATTGCAGTCCCAATTCCTGGTCAACCGAATTGTTTTCAATTGGCAAGAGTTGTCAATTCGACTGAGGAATTGGTGGATAGTGGAACGAAGGTTATTACAGGTTCGAAATTTCTAAAGGACAAATATAAAGGAACTGCAGCGCGTTATGATGTGCCATACGAAACCAATTATTCTGGAGAGTATATATCCATAAAACGACATGCCATTGCCGAGTATATAGACAAATTTGAAAGTCTAAAACATGCACAAGTCAATCAAATTTCAAGTACCACAACTGAACCTGTGGGATCTGATAACGAATTTACAAAATATCAATATGACTTAATGCAGCAACAGATGCGAATACACGTACAAATGTTAACGCAAACCTATATACAAACCTATTGTCACCCTGAACTGTGGAAATTGGCCTCAAAGCCCAAGGAGATGCTTTTGGAGTTACAGCAGAAGTCAAAAGTTAATGCCAATTTCAAAATTTGGAATTTAGAGAAGGCTATAAATCTCATAAATAAGTGGGCTAATGAATTGGATCAAGATAATGAAGAAAATAGGGCTCTGATGAAGTTTCTGCATCGTGAAGTTGAATTGACGTAAGTATTGATACCTTTTTTCATAGTTTTTAGTCCATAAGTTTTAATTGTCCATTTCAGAAATCACAATACTCGACAAATACCTCGTTTCCATCCACGCCTTTTGGACTGTTTCTTGGAATCTGATGTGTTCATGTACCCTGAATATCTGCCACGTATGCCCTTTTCACCCAAAGTCATAACCATTGAAACATTCTCGCCCGTTGAGTGCTATTTAATTGCCATGGGTCTGGAGAAACACGTAAAACTGATAGAGAAGAGAAAGGAACGCATTCACAAGAAATCTTCAGCAGAAAGGAAGGCATGCAAACGCTTCACCAAAGAAATATTGCAAGGGAAGAATCATCGACGAGTTTGGGACTATATTGAACATATGAGAAATGCTGAATATTATAATCCTATAAAGGTAATAACAACTTGGCCATTGATTACAAATACCAGAGTAAACAAATTTTCTTTTTAGTATTATTTTGACAACAAAAGGGCACCGCCAGTCGAGTACACGCCCATTATTGGTTTTGAAAACAATACCGTGCCATTGCCCAAGGATCGTTTTCCCGAATTACCATTAGTATTTCAACAATATTTGCAAAAGGTAAGCAGCTTTAATGTTGTTGTTTTTTTAAATTATTACAAAAAAAGGTAGTATTAACACACATGCAGTTGTCTGTGAATTGAATGAAATATGAAGTTATCTATTACTTTATACTATTACTTAATCCTAATAATGGCCGACACGATCTCTTGGAATGAGACGCAACTCTGAGCCATGTTTCAAGAAGACATTTCCAGCGGTTTGTTGAGGGCTAATGCCGATACCATCGTCAGTAATAATTGCACTGGTGGCTGCGGGGACTTTGAATTCCTCTGCGGCAAACTTGAGAACAGCTGTAAAGGGAGTTGCCTCGGGTACACTTAGCACCTTGAACGGCAATTTGGGATCCGAAGTTAAAGTGATTTTGAAAGTAACCTTAGACATGTTGACTGTTGGCGTCTACTTGGCCGATTAACTATTCAATGACAGTACCTACAAAAATGTTAGTGACGTGGTCAGTTTACAATTTCACAGTAAACAAATTGTACTCAATAGCTACTTACTTGGTATGCAGTTTTCAATAGACAACCACTTTAAAACTGGGCTTAGTCGAGATTTATTTCTTACCAAGACAATTTTTAGTCCTATAAATGCAATTATTTTTTTATAAGAAACAACGAGCACCGATGTCATCGATGTGTTTCTCTTACAGTGCAATGTTGTCGTTGTGACGTTATTGTGAATGAATCATATGGTGTAGATGACAGTTGTCAAATTATTGAGGATGATTACCGTAGCTGTGTTGCATAGGCAATAAATGTCATTATTTCTTTTTATACCATTCACAATAGCCAATTGATATCAATTTGTTTTGTTTTTTTATTTGTTTGTTAATGCCTCCAGAAAAACGCTCCTCCAGTGCCACCAAAACCAAAAAGAGTCAAAAATCCAAATGTAAAAGTATCCGATAAATTCCGAGACTCATTTTTTGAATTTGTTCGCGAAGCCGTCGGGGAAGATATTACCCTTGAGGAAGACATTGTTGAAGAGGTACCAAGCCAAACAAATCTATGCGAATCACAGCCTGTTTTGTCCGGCAATACGCCATTAGCACGGAAAAGAACTTCCACTGATAAAGACGCACCTAAGGCAAAAAGAAGAAGACTACCACGTTCCTTAACAATAAATGTGAATTATGTATTTGGGAGTCCACCGGCAACGAATTTACCTTCGATACTGCCCAGCAATTCTACAGTTGCTGCCCTAAGTAATACATCACTAATATCATCCGTGAACAACACCAGCACGGGTAGTATATTGGATTCAACAAATGGTAATATAAGTACAAGTCAATGTCAGGACTATTTAAACAACACATCTAATGCGAATACTTCATCCGTGGAAGCACCAGTAGTAACATATAACTTCGATTTGACTACAAAAACTCTCCAACCTCAATATAATCAAATAACCACAACATATGTCCAACAGTCATCTGTGCCAGCTAATTCTGTGTTACATAGCGCAGCAGTTGATACCGTCACAATATCCTCAGATGATTCCATACAAGGTATAGATGCCACAGTGGACACAACCACCTCTAATCAAGCAACCGAGAATCCAGCACCTCATAATACTTTAGTAAGGCCTGAGACCACCGTTGCCACTAATACGCAGGAAACACCAGTAGTTCAAAAACCATCGGAAATAAATTCAACGTCGTCGACAAATGAACCCACTTCTGGGCAAAGTTGTCCAAACTTGAAAGAAAGTATATCTGGAGCTACAGCATCCATTGTCGTAACGCAATCTGTTTCAAATACAACGCCTGTATCAGCGGTGCAGACTACCCCCAAAAGTCATCAACTACTTACGAGGGATACAACACAAGAGAGTACCTCGCCTGCTTCATCACAATCTGTTCTCAGCATTGCAACTGCAATTACCGCTAATAAAACTGCAATTGTGCAGGCAACCCCTGAAAAATCTCAACAAGAAACTTTAAGAAGTACCTCAACCAATTGCCAACAAAATACTTCAAAATCGGTTGAAGGCAATAAGGAAAATTTGAAAATTAACCATGAAGTAAAACACCAAAGTGGTAAACATAGACGAAGAACTGTAATTCTTTCCCACATAACAAAACTTAACAAGAATATAACTAGAAAATCCATAGCCTATCGTGAAAAACGTTCAATTAAACAACGTTGTGAAGATTTAATAACCGCCTATGGATTACATTTGGAGACGCTACAAGTTCGCTATAAACACACACCGTTGGTACAACAATTCTATAGAAGGTTCAAAGCTTTAGAACTGTATACAAACCTACTGAAGAGCTTAAAAATGCTTTGTAGTAAAAGTGCCACCAACACCAATAGCTCCAGCCCCAGTGGCTTAAAACGTTCCCGCAATGCAAATAATGAAGACGAGAGTAGTCCTTCGTCTCAACGGATGGCAAGGAAAATCAATCGGCAAGAGGAGAATTTCAGACACATGTTGCTGCCTGATACCCCCGAGGAGGTAAATCGGAAAGATGCCAGTAAGTGAACATTAATTTCTTCCCTTATTATTTTATAAGTAATTGTCATCCTGCTATTTCAGTTTATGCATTTAATTTTTATGAAAAGGTTGAGGAGGCATTAAGGGCTTCCAACAGGCCAGATGACTGTAAAAAGTTTAACACTATTCTAAAGACATTCGATCCCAAAAAGGACAAAGTATCTGACTTATATTATGTAAGTATATCTTTGGTTGGTATTGAGATAGTTCTAAACATCTCCTATTTTGTAGAAATTAGAAAAACTATTTTTACCAGACCACCCAGAATTGGCTCAAGTATTCTTAACATTTTTGCTGCCACCAGAGGCAGCTGAAATTGGCAAATTTTTTGAACACTTTATGATCACAAATATGACAACATTCATCAACAAATTGAACATCTACTTCAACAAGCAGCCTGCGCAAATACGCAAAATCTACAATTGTCTCAATGAATTGGCCGATGATCCAGACGTGACCATGAAAAAGATTGAGTCGAAAATTATACCACTATTAAAGGGTAATCAATTTTTGATAGATTGGTTTATGCAACAGTTCCCGAAAAGCACACCACCTGAGAGGTTAGATTTATATATTTTATATTTTCGACACAGCAATTTCAATCAAATCAATTGTTTTTCTAGGCTGTTTTCCACCCCAGAACATATATTAAATGTCAAGGAGCAGCAAACAAATCGTTCTGGTGAACATATCGAAACAATTACAGACATGGATTCTACCGCAAATGATGTTCCAAATCAAACAACTACTTGTCAATTGAGGGTAAGTGTTGAAACATAATTAAATCTTTTATTTTTCAAATAATAATTCAATTTCTTTAATAATCTCAGTACATCAATGGACGTATTTTCTATGGATCTAAAATATTGCTGCCAGCAAAATTGTCTTTCATGGCTTCGTCCTATAAAGACAATCGAGCAAATATTGAACCCACCCCACCTACAACACAAATTACTGGCTGCGTCCATGCTATTAAGGACCATGGTGAAAAACGTTTAAGATCTACTTCGGAGCTGGCAAACGTTGCTGCCAGCACTGAGTCTACAGATGAGCAGGACAAATCTGAAGAGGAAGATGTGTCGAAGGTTCTTGTAATCGACACGACAGCCGAAGAAGAAGATAGCTGTTCATCGTTTGAACCCTGTGATGAAAATACTCTGAAAGCACACGCTTTACGACTGAATCCCTCTTATTATGGTTCCACTTGCTATTCGGCCAGTGCAACCAGTACCCCCAATTTGAACAGTAATTTCCAAAGTCATCATCCTAACGCCAAAAAAGTGTCACTGAATTTCAATGAAGAAACAGCCAGCAGTACTTCAGCGGCAGGAAAAACATCGCCTCGTAAAAATCAAGGCCACCACTCCATATGTTCACCTTCCACGGCAACCACGTCGTCGTGTCAGTCTCATGTAAATGCCCGTGATAAACGAAAATCTCCCATTAAGAAAACCAAATCACCACTCATTCACAACACTGGTAGATCAGTTCGTCCGTACAACAATCAACCCATGGTTGTCATTCATGAAAATAATTCTGCCATACAATGTGCAAAGCGCTTAAAGTCGTTGATTGAAACGCCATCGGAAGAACCAACAAATGTCGCCGAAGATACAGCTTTGGAGACCAAGGAACATATACATATTGTAGCCCGAACGAAAACTAGTGTGAAGTCGTCGTCAACTTCAGTGGCAAACAGCAGTGCTGTAACATCAACCACTACCACATCGATGAGCTCAGCTATTACCCACAATCCTAGTGTCAAACAAGAACATTCTGATGATTTGGAATTCCTGCCAGAACATGCCTCAATTACACGAAGTCCTTTCCCAGCACTGAAAATGGACACGGACTCTAATGAAGAAGATACAGCCTCCGTAAAAAATGTGCCATCGAGAATTGGCAGTGATGAGGACTGTAAAATAGATATTGTTGCAAACTTGGTTACGGAACCTGTCGAAAAATCGAATGAAACTCCTCGGTCCGTACCCTTACCATTGAATGCAGCTTGGACCAGGGATGAGGATAAAGTAATTCTGATTGAAATGAAGATGGGTTCAGCGAATCGAGAAGAACTATACCAGCGCATATCTAAGAAATTACCAAAACGAACTTTATTCGAAATAACAGCCAGACATCAGTTTCTGGTGGATTTCCTTGCGAAACTACAAGGCAAATAGGTTTACTGTTACTCGTTTTATTTCATTGTATTTAAGTTTTCTTTTTACAGCTGTAAATAATTATTTGTTAAAATGATTTTAATTTTAATAAACCACAACAGAATTATGTTTTGTCCCATGAAATCATATTTTTGAGGAGTTATTATGGAATTTATTTTTGTCGAAAAATTGAAGATATATGCTTCTCTCTGATATTGAATAAAAGTAGAGTTTGTCAATTGTGAAGGTCCAAACGAGCTACATGAGGTTATGATACATTCCATTTATGTTTTTAATGTGGTTTATTGTTTCTTATGGTCTAAAACTTTGGTACTTATACAATATAAATGAGTATCGTATTTATTATACATTTTTATTGGAATTGGCATTCAATTTGACCGATGAAATGCTCATTATTTCATCATCTCCCACCTCATTGATTTCATCATCATCTTCCTCAGCATCATCATTAACAATGTCATCTAAATTGGGTGTCTTGATGCGATTTCGTATAATTATATCACGTTCGGCTGGTGTTTGCAAATGCAATGGATTGGTGACAATTTCACAACCATCCATATCTCGTCCCTGGAGGCCAAGTGTTAAATTGACTTTAGAATGATGACCAGCTGGAACTTCACCGGGTCCAGATGATAATTGTCCTCCGCCTACAGTGCGTGTCACCGTAGCTGGTGGTGGCTTCAAACGCGATGGGTCAAGTAGAGAAGGAATTTTTGAGGATTTTTTGGGTGTACGGGCAGGTGAGCTTTTTCGAGAATTGTTAAACGATTTCAATTGTTTTGCCCTAAAAAAATTAAGGAGGTTTTCTGTAAATAAATAAGATGAGAATGTGTTTCCACTTACGCTTCTATGAGTTTGAGCAAAAGTCTATGATATGCTTCATATTCTTCACTGCCAAATTCATTGGGATCATGACGGGCGTGTTCGTACATATCACAAAATTGATGAATCATACGTTGTCCGGTGCCATTAAGACATGAAGACAGAGTGGTTAATAAAAATGCCCGTAAGTTTTCATGGGCATGACGTACGGCTCCATCACTTTTGGCTATTTCACGTTCTTTGTGGGACAACAATAAATTTATCTTTACGACTGGAGGAAAAGGACAACCGTAAATTGAGAAACATACCCAATATCTTTATATCATCCACCGCCTGCATGCGATAGTAATATGGTGGCAATGGTTTATCCTTCTGCAGAATATACTTATCATCATTCCACAGTAGTTTCCGTTCAATTTGTATTTTTGGTATACAATCTAATCGTCGTTCTATTTCCTTCCTAAGGGCCTAGTAGAAAAAATGGATCTATGGATAACAATTCATTCTGGAAAATAATGCACAAATGCGTACCTTTTTGGCATCATTGCCAACTGGCACATGAGGACCACGGCGACTTCTCAGGGTAAATCTCATTATTTGCCTTTTGGCAAAGATGAACAACATTACAAACGTCAGGACACCTCCGCCAATGATAATAATTATCATAACACCCGACAACTGCTCCATTTTGACCTGTAGAAAAGAAAATGAGTTTTGCACTCGGAAATGCTTTATTAATTTATTAAATATGCCTTAAATCAATGAATACCTTTATATTTTTACTGTTTCCAGTGTTTCTCTGCAAATTGGGTGGAGCAATAGATCTAAATTTTCCAAACAGCGCTTTTGGCTTTTCAATTTTAAATTATTCTGGGAAACATATCCGAGTCCTTTTAACATTCAAAATATATAAATTATTTATATATGTAATATATTCTTATCATTTTTATAAAAAAATAAATTACCTACTTACAATTGCGCTATTGTGAATGAACACTATATTAAAAGGCTGCTGATAAACAATAGCAGTTCACAATTGCGCTATTGTGAATGGACACTACATTAAACAGCTGTATTTCATTCATGGCACAATGAATAGGTCCATTTAGAGCAGCTGATGTCTTGATTAACTGTCAATGTGGTAAAATGCAATGCTGCCAAATTTTTAAAATATTACAAGGAAAAATTTGACAGATAATCGATAATCGAATCGAAACCCTAATTACGAATCCTGACAACACACTCACACAGAACAACGGTGGCACGTCATCCTTGTCATCCTTAGTAAAATGTTTTGATTTCTTCCTGCCTACATAAAAAATGAAATTAAGTACAAATATCAATCAATTATGGAACAAAAGACGAACGAACATAGATGAAAACTGGTACACCTATCTGTTCTTCGCTGTCCTACGAATTGTTTTGGTTTTCATTCAGACAGGCTATGTCCACCCGGATGAATTTTTCCAATCGATTGAGGTCATGAACGGTAAATTGAGCAATACATCAAATTAACTATTAGAATTAAAAAAGGTATCCCTTGCAGGTGACCACTTTCGTTTGGAACATGTTCGAACATGGGAGTTTAATAATACAATGCCGGTGCGTAGCATAACCATACCCTTTCTGCTGCTACGAGTTCCGTGGAGTTTTCTTGAATTTGCTGCCCTCTATTTGAGGGAGTACTTCAGCATAGAAATATTGTGCAGCTACACCTATTTGGTATTTCCACGCCTAGTCTACTGCGCCATATCATTCGTCAATGATTGGGCCCTATATCGTGTGTGCATGCTATATAGCTTACGATTTGAAATACGTCTGCTGGCATTGGGTAGTAGCTGGGTAATGTTGGTGTTTGGCACACACACCTTCTCCAACACCATTGAAATGGCCCTATGCTCTGTACTCTTATATTTTGTGGCCGAGTGCATGATCACCACCAATACCATTGTATATAAAAAGGAGATACTCGATGAGAAATACGACAAGGCAGCCTCGATTGGAGAACGTGTAAAAATATGGAAACTGAAAAATGCCCTACCCACCCACAACTTCAATAAGATATTTGCTATGTCAACTTTGTGTGTCATGGGAGTATTCAATCGCCCGACATTCCTTTTATTTGGTGCACCCATGGTCTTCTATTGGCTGCTAAGAGGAATGGGTACGAAGAGTGTAACATTCACCGATTTTCACCTGCGTATGCTGCTGTTTTGTGTAAGTGCCATTCCATCAATGCTTTTCTTTGTTCTTTGCGATTCGTTGTATTATAAATATTTGACTTCGGGAGAAATTATGACCAAAACGATTAGCATAGATAATTTTGTGTTTACCCCCTGGAATTTTGTCAAGTATAATTTGGATCCCAAGAAAACATCTGAACATGGTTTACATCCCAAATACATACACTTGCTGGTAAATGTACCGCTGCTTTATGGCATTTTGGGCATAATTGCAATGGTGTCCTTTGCCCAATTAATGATAAGATTTTTCAAAGCAGAATATCAAGGTTTGCCAAGGGCACAGAGTATTGTGGGTTTAATGTCGGCATCTATTTTTGTACCATTATTCTTTCTGTCGCTGATCAATCATCAGGAACCTCGGTTCCTCATTCCCTTAACATTTCCCATAATATTGTTGCATGGTCCCAAGTTGGTTACGGGTTTCTGTGCCCACTATCCTTTTCGTGTTGAAAATCCTTGGTTACGATTATGCTATGATAAATTTCTGTGTACAAAAGCCTCGGCCGTCTATGTTATGAAAATATGGTATTTTGCCAATATTGCTTTAACGGTTTTCTTTGGGTTCATGCATCAGGCGGGTGTCTTCCCTATGGCTCAGCATTTCGAACAACAAATGAAACTCAAAGCCCCCGATCAACATATACATTTGATAACGTCCCACACATATATGTTTCCATTGTCCCTTGTAAATATTCCCAGTACCCAAATGGTCCATTTGAATACAAAAACTGGACAAAGATACAAAAAGCGCAAAGATTTCTATTTGTACGAGTATGGAGGTTTGGATATGCCACAACTAATATCACGTATTCGGCTTATAATATCACACTGTGAATTGAAGAAAGAAACTAAAAAGTTGAGGTATCGCCTATTCTTGGCCATACCATCGTCTCTAAGTGATGATCTCAATTTGGCATTGGTGCAAAACAATGCCACATATTTGAATTATGAATTGAAGCATGTTTTCTATCCACACGTCTCCACGGAGGCTTTACCACAATTTCTGGGAAGACATCCGGGTATAGTTGATCCACCCCACTGGTCAGAGGATAATTTGAAAGGTACATGTTCAGTTGAAGTGGAACCTGAGCTAAGCTTTACTTATGCCAGTAAGCAGCTATCATCGTTTGTCCATCAATTCGGTTTGGCATTGTATGAATTTGAATTGAAACGAAATATGCCCAAGAATAGAAAGACCCTGACAAAAACCAAATGTTATACATAACAAGAATTTTTAGAATAGATTTTATTGTTTACTACTATTACTAGTCCTAAAAAATTAAACCAAAGATATACAGAATAAACATATTCATTTAAATTGTTATACTCGAATTAATTATTTTTGTTTTAAATCACGTTCTACATTCCTGCAACTGAAAGAAAATCGGGTCTCTAACATATATATACTTAAAGTTCTCTTATTATACTTAATTTTTTACATTCGTGTATATATATTTTTAAAGAAATAAATGCTTTTTATAATGATTACGATATGAAACACGAACAAATAACACCAGTTGTGAAGAATGTCAACTTTTGTTCTCAATAAATAATATGACGCTAAATCCATTGCGTACACCTTGGATAACTGTGTGAGAGTATCAGAGAGCTGAGGTAACAATCGTTGGCTAAGTGACACTCGATTCGTGAAAACGGGCCATTTAAGGTATTTCCTTTTGCAAAGTAAATGCTCTACCACCTCAGATTGCTGTGTGATTCTTATAATGTTTTAATCAAAAGACTTGAGAACTCCAGCCAAAAAGCTTGGGAGATCTTGTATTCAGTGTCATTTACTAACAGTTTCGTACAGTACCCTATTTCTTTTTACTGAAAAATAAAACACAATTTATTATATTTGAAAGATTTTTTTAGTTTATTCACGTTTTAAAGTAGTTGTGTTTTCATAGTTTGATTATTTTGTTTTAATTTATTTTTTAATACAAGTATATTCTTGTATATATATTTATTAGTTTTAAAGTAGTTTAGGCATTTGTTTTATAAGATTGAAATGAGCATTAATGTTTTGTTTTTGCTGATTTAGATTTTTGTTAGTTAAGTAAGGATGACATTAGATTTTTAGAAATTTTGGAGTATAGGTCTATTATTTTTTTTTCACAACTTAATTCTATACATATTTAATGATTAAAATGTTGAATTATTTTTATTATTTTCTCTTGTTGTTGTGTGTTTTTTTGTAACGAATATTATTTCTTTTAAACCAGTAATTATTTAAATGTTTTTTCAATGCTAATAAAATATTAATTTTATTTAATTAAAATTGTAATGAAAAATATTTTTGTTTACTAAATATAATAATTTTAAATTACTAACCAGTTAGTTAATCTATTTAAAAAGTGTTAACAATTTTGTTCTTGGGTTTTTTATTTCTTATTTTTTCCTGCTAATAATTTTAATTATAATAATAAATTTAGAGCAAAAAATGTTAATAAAAAAATGTTTTGGTACCCTTTTCTCTAAAATTTAAATATAATTTATTTTTTTATTATTAATATATGATGTGTATATATTTTAATTCTATATAATGTTAAAGAGTTTTATAAAGTCTATCAATATGTTAGGTTTTAAAGATTATTTTTTTTCTTTTTAATTATTAATTTTTTAAACATACCTTTTGTTTAGGGAAATATTTAGTTGACTAAATATTTAAATGCTCTTAAATTATATATAGTTTAGGTACTAATGCTCCGAGTTTAATATGTTTGTTTTAATCATATTTTTTTTTAATAGTTTATATTATGCATGTATGTATAGCTTTGCTACATAGTATGAAGGAATATTTTTTTTATTTATTTGTATAGCGATTTTATATGTAGTTTTATTTTTTATTTTTATAAAGTAATCATAAAATATATTTTTGGTTTGTCTTTTAAGTAGCACTAATGATAGATAATATTAATTTTGGTTTAGTAGCTAGAAACTTATGTAAATACAGCCGATTTCAATATTGAAACATGTGATATTATATTCTATTCTCAGAAATTGGTATGTCGACAGGGGGTATATCATTTGTTTCAATATTGAAAAAATATTACTGTCTATTTATGACCATGTGACGACAATCCTGTGGGTTGTAAGCAGTGCCATAAGATCATTCTGATTTCAATAGTTTCATGTAAATTTTTTGTTATATATGCATATTAATTTTTCAATTCCATTCCGATTCATGTATTTTCTTATTTAAACAAAACTGTCTTTACATCTCACAGGATTCTTATCATATGGTCATATATGTAAATTAATTTTTAAACTGATTTGTATTTAGTAGTTTTACTTACAATTATTAGACATTTTTTATGTCCTTGTCTAGAAATAATTATTTCCTAGAAAAAAAGTTCATATTAGACCTGACCTGTTAGGGTTTGGAGTTGAAGGAATATTACCTGGTCTACAATAGAAACAAGTTAAAAATGCTTGAGAATTGCAAGGTAATTATTAATTAAATACCTCCATCAAAAAGAAATGTTAATGTTGTCTTCTTAAATTTTGTAATGCTTTGCGATATCAATTCACAATAGATTTTGTGTAGACATAATAAATTATATAGTTTTGAAAGTTTTTTTTTTTGTAACACCAGGCTTTTGTTAAGGGATATCATTAAGATTGTCTTGAAGTATAATGTCAATATTTATACTTATTGATTATTTTTAATGAAAATTTAAATTCAAAGTACAATTCGCCATGAGAAAACGGTGTGTGTATTGCCTATTCCAGTAATTTCTTTGCAAATCTTTTGGAAACCATAGAATTGTAGAGAAGGTCTGTTTTTGTATATATTTATTTTATTGTATATTAATTTATTTTTTTTTCTTATTTAAATATATTTTTGCTGATTTTGTTTGGTACTTGAAGACTCCTAGCATTTCAATGTTGCTATTATTATGACATTTAAAAAATAAGAGAGAGAAAAAAACTAATTCATTACATTTATACTATTATTTTTTTCGTAATGTTTTGTGGAGTGAACTCCGCCGTATTTTGCTTTTGGCTCGAATAATGCAGGGGCAAACATTATTAACGAGCTTTGATTTTTGACAATCTTATTTATAGTTGTGTTATTTTTTTTTTAAGATGTGTACTTTGTTTTTATAAAATATGAATTTTAGAATATTAAACCAAAAAAATAAAAGGAGCAAAAGATTTGAATTAGAAGTATACAAGAAAATACGAGTATATGTGATAATAAAAATTATTTTAAACAAAAAATTGTATTTTGTATGGTGAAACGAAGATGAGCTTCCAAAAATCTTCTAATTTTAGTAAATACAATTTTATTCTACTGTTTTTATTTTTAAGGCTTATAAATGCTTTTTTTCTTGCAACTCTTCCATAATAATCATATTTATGTAAGTTTGCATATTTGCATTTTCAATATTATTTCGTAAATAGATCTTTCAGTGAAATTTATATATTTTTGTTGAATTACGAAAGCGTGAATCGAGAATATGTATTTTCGTTTTATGTATATCCTTATATCTAAGTAATATGTTTATTATATTATGACATTATTAGGAAATATTGTTTTCAAATAGTAGCCTATTGACTAGTATTTTTTCCAATTAGAAAAAAAAAACAGGTATCATAAGGTCTATAAAAAGGATGTCGAAAGTACGAGTCCTGTTTGTGTTACAGATGATATACATCCAATATTTGTGACATCATATAATATGCCATGCAGATGTTTAAAATTAAACAGAATGCTCTATGGAAAGTTATGCTGATGGAAATGGAGAAGGTGCATTTTCAATGGTTCCTTAGAAATCTATACTCTTTGTATTTCTATATTAGTAGTAGGACTAAATATATTCTTTATAGCAATTTCAAATTTAAGGAAATACTTTATAAAACTAATTTTAAATTCAACAGAAATTTTGAAAATAAGTGAAGTGAATTTTTTCCATACAATTTTTTTATAAAAAACCTACAAAAAAATAAAATAAAAAATACTCTTCAAAATATTTAATCTGAAGAGTTTTTTAAATAAAGTTAAATGTAAACATTTTTTGAATTTGAAATTTAGAAGTTTGAATTTAGAGGAATTTATAGAAAAAGTTCAATTAAATTTAAGAAAAAATTTACATTTTTTGGAATGATTGTAATAGACATTTTTTAAGCTATTTTAGAAAATGAAAATTTTTATAGAACAATTTTGATATTTTTCGTATTTTATGTTATTATAGTCGTGGTTTTTCATATGTTATGACATGGCCAGGTGAAGATACCTGGCTTCGCTTTTTATTATATTTCCATTTGATTTGATCTAAAGTAATTGTTTCACCTTTCTCGCTTTACGCCAAGATTATTATTTTTCTTGCAACATACCCAAGCAAATTAAAATTTCAATTCCAAATATTGTCAAACGAAAAATTGTATTTTTAAATTCGTTAGCGTTTTTTTAAATTAATTTATTTTTATCATAAACTAATATTGCTTAAGATTGTTTGTTGTTGGTAGTTGATATGTAACTAAAATCTATTTTTTGTATTTTTCAATACAAACTTCTTACAACAAAAATAAACGAACACAAACGGAAAGGAGGAAAGTGAAAACAACGAAGAAAATAAATAAAAAACATAGAGAAGAAGAAAAATGTAAGATATTTGTTTTTCAGAAAAAAATTTATTTAAATATTTTCTATTCAATAATAACTTATAATTAAGAATTCAATAATTATTGCTCTGTCTTTTTGTTTCCATGATAACTTTACACAAATTTACACTACTACACAATGTAGGAAGGAAGAATCGAGAGAGAGTGAAAGAGATAGACAACGGTTTAAAACTAAAACTGTTAAAAATATAAATATAATATTTTTAATAAGTATAAATAAACAATATCATTTTTTTTATTAGGAGTAATCATTCATTCATTCATCAATTCAATCAATCGTTCATCACGTCATGCTGAACGTGAACAGTTCATTTTTGGAGAGAGAGAGAGTGGGGATCTCTGTTTTGACTGATGAGAATCCAGTTAACCGTTTTTTCTTGATGTTGTTGACGTCCATCCAGTCAAAAGAGTTTATTTTAGCTTTTGCGCTCACCTTATTCGCCTAAACATGTGGTGGTCATTGTCGTCGTCGTTATTTATGTGGGCACAATGTAATCGGGATTCATATAGGAGAAGCCCACAAATTCCGTTTGATCCAAATTCATCATGAAAACTTTATCTGTGGGTGTTAAATCGGTCTTTTCCGATGTGAATTGTTTATCGAAATTGGAGACATCTTTGCGGTGTTTCTGTGAGCGAAAAAAAACACATACGTGAGAGAGAAGTTCTGAAATTTACCATTTGTACTTACAATTTTCGGTTTAAATGGCGGCTGAACTTCACGATTTTCAATTTTTTCCCAATCGATACGCCTAAAGAAGGGATGTAAACGTACATCTTCCTCACCGGTTGGTCCACAGCCCAAACGTTTGCTGGGTTGTTTGGTTAGAAACTGAAGAAAAGTAAAAATATTTCAAATCTGTCTCAAATAGTTTTGAAATATCCATATACTTACACCTTTACAGGCTTCCTTGGCCTCTTTGCTTAAACTCTTAGGATATGATACATTGTGGTCAGTAATGGCTGCAAATAATTCCTCTTCATCTTCACCATCGAAGGGCGGTTGGCCAACCAACATCTCATACAAGAGAACACCATAGGCCCACCAATCAACAGATTTTCCATAGGGCTGATATAATATTATCTGGAAAAAATTGAAATATTGAACAACAAATAATTGAAAAAAAGATCTTCAAATTTGCAATTGCAAGGAAATAATTGTAGAGAATTTTAAAAACCTACAATATTTTTGAATATTGCTATAAATATCTATAGAAAAATAAAAAAAAGAAATCTTTGGAAAATATTTGGTCTGTTCCAGAACCTGCAAGAATGTCTATGTTAAAATTTTGTTCCTTTTCGGAAAAAATATTAAAAATTTTTAGGTTCCTGCAGTACAAATCTATTTTTTTCCTAAAAGGAAAAAAATTAACGGAGTAAAAAATTTTACAATCTTGCAGGTTCTGGAACAGACCAACTGTAATATTCCTCCTACTCACCTCAGGCGCTATATAATCCGGTGTACCGCAGAATGTTTTTGTTGTCTTATCACCAATAATATTTTCTTTGCACATACCGAAATCGGCAATTTTCACATGACCATCAGAATCCAATAAGACATTATCCAATTTAAGATCTCTGTACAAAATGCCTTTGCTATGCAAGAAGAATAGGCCAGCGGCAATTTCGGCAGCATAAAAACTAAAACACATCCACACACACATATTAATACTTTGCTTAGGGAGGAGGGTATTGGCAAACTTACACAGCAACAGGCTCCTTAAATTTGCCAAATTGTTGTATTTGAAACATTAAATCGCCGCCATTGACATATTCCATAACGAAAAACAGGCGATCCATTGTCTGGAAGCAGGAATGTAATTGTACCAAAAATGGTGGTTTCTCTGCCAGGGCCAAAACACGTTTCTCAATCATGGTACATTCGACATCATCGTCCTGGATAATGACATCCTTTTTGAGTATTTTAATGGCATACAATTCTTCGGTGCCTTTGCGTTCGGCTAATAGAACCTGTGGAGGAATATAAAAAAGATTTTGATATAAATGCAAAGAGAGAAGGAGAGAGAGAGGGAGGGATATTGAGTGAGTAATACTTGCCTTGCCAAATGACCCCTTGCCTAGTACCTTAATAAAATTAAAGTCACTGGCTCTTATCATATCTTTGGTTTGACTCTGGCTATTGGTTTCGGAACGCATAACCAAAGGTTTTTTCTGTGATGATTTCTGTAAGAAAGAACAACTTTGGTTGGAAATATTTCCTTGAATTTGTTTTTTCTTTTTGACTTACTCTCATCTGAGATTTAAGTTTAAGCAAATCTTGTGTGGCATCAGCACATGGCACATTGTAATATTCACCCTCCTCTTGGGTAAGCAATTTGAACCAGCCATTGGCAGGATTCTGTATACAAATTGAGAATATTGAAATTCATTTTTTAAATAGGTCTTGAGAATATTTACCTTAATTATTTCTGAGATTCCAAATGATAAGGCTCCCATGAAATCATTGCGCGAAGTACGATCCCAATCCCAGACTTCTATGAGAACTCGTCGATCTTTGTCTTCGGCTTTTAGTTCACTGGGAAAAATAAATAAAAATATTTTATAAAATAAAATTCGATGATGTTTTTAATATTCATTACAACATTTTTTTAGAAAAAAATATCTATAGAATATCTTGGCAATTTCAATATTTTCTATAGATTTTTTATGAACTTATATTCAATAATATTTGGTATTTTCCAAAATATTAATACTTTTCCCCCGTAATCTACTTACTATGTAATTGTTTCATTCCATACTGGATTCAGGCATGCCTTAATCGTACGCGTTTTCTTTTTGCATTTTTCATGTTCATCGGGAATGAGTTTGACCTTAACATAAGGATCACTGAGACCATTTGGATCCATGGGAATGAGATTTCGACCTTCTTTAACTGGAAATAAAAAATAATAAAAAATTAAGCCATTTGAAACAATTCTCCTAAATATTTGTTAAACATATATTTTTTTAATATTTCATTTTATGTTTAAAATTAGTTTCCTCTGGAAAGAAAGGGGGCCTCGAAGTGGAACATTTCATTTTCCGCACACTATGCTGTTCACTTATTTATTAATAGCATTGAGTATTGCCGCAAGCATTGTCGCGTGGCATATCAACGATGAAGTTGGCTTTATGTTACCATCATGACAAATGAATGGCTTGGGGAATATTCGTGTGGCTGAGGGTATGCGGGAAAGGGGAGGGGGCATATCTATTTTGTATTTTTTCTGTTCATAGTTACAAAGAATATTATCGTGTTAAATTTGTTATAAAGTTGATTTCAAGCGTAAAAAATTTATATTTTTGTACTTCAAAAAGTTTTGTAAATCAATGGCATGGTGGCAGAGCCAAGAGAGAGAGAGATAGAGGAGGTGATAGGGGATGGGAGGGATGTGGTATAAAGTGTTGAAAGTTGTTAATGTATTAAAAAGAGGAACTTGGTTAAGAACTTAATTTTTTTTGTGTTAATGATAAATATATCTTTGAAAATTTCTTGGTTCTTAATACATAGTTTCTTTTTGTAAGATTTTAAGTAGTGGGGCGTATACTTATTATTAACTATTTGTGCATATTACTTATACGTCACGGTAGCCTAGAGGAATATTTTTGTTTCTAGAATTAAATTTAGTTTTAAATTTGTATCCTTAATTTTGGAATTCATTTTCTTTGCCTTGACTCAAAATAATCTCCCCCTGGACTCCAGCAACATGTCCAAACGGTCCATTAACGTCATCATGTCTTCCATAATTACACAAGCATACACACAGAAGGATGTGTGCTTGTCTACTTACTCAGTACGGTTAAGGTGTTATCTTTAACACCCAATTCCAGGAAAATGCGTCCACGTCGTTCAGTGTGATCACATCCGCATAAGCTGGGCACGTTCTCCTTGCAACGTGCATGCACGTTCATGTCACATGCTGTTCAAGGTAAACAATGCATTTGTTTAACCAAAACAAACCGCAATAGAAGATACAAAAAAAATTTTGAAAATAAAAACAAAAACAAATTATTTTATAAATTCACAACAATAACAACACAATAGAGTGTATTGTGTTGTTGTAGTTATTAATTTTTTTTCTTTAGTGGGAAGATAATTTGTTGCAACTGGTTGGCAGTGGTAGTAATGTGGGTGGGTTAATTGGTGGGGGATGATTAGTAAAGAGATAGTGAAAGAGTATTTAGTTAGTAGCTAGGTTCTTTTTTTTCAAAACAAAATGACATTAGACCAAAATTCAGACGCACACATACACACTCGCACCACAAACACATACACACATTTTTCTTGTTATTCTTGGTTATAAAGACAGACACACATTTCTTGGGGAAAAACAGAAATCACAACAAACTAGAAGCAATTGAAAACGGAAATAAAAATACATACATACTTACCTTGCCATTGTCAGGAAGTCAGTCACAAAATGACCTTCCTTTGAGCCTCAAACAAAAGTAGTTTCATTTCAGGATTTTCAATGAAAGGGGAAATTTCAAATTGATTGAAATCATGTTTATGTGTATGGGACCATAACCCTAAAGGACATGTGAAGTGTATTAAATAAATATTGACTTAGTCCTTTCTATTTTGGTTTTTTTTTTGGTTCAATGTCAATGGTCAATGGCTGGTATTTTTTCAATAGTCAATCTTTGTTGGACAATATTTAACAAAACAAAAGTTACTTTAAGTACGGTCAACTGTCTGAAGGATATGTCATGGGCATGTTTGTGTATTTTAAGTTTATTAGGACTTTAAATGTACACCCATACGAGTATGTGTGCATATGTGTGTGTGAGATTCTTAGTTACATTGTATTTAGAATTGAATGTGGCAAAATAAATTTTCTACACGAATAAACCTACAAAAATTATTGACCGTAAAAGTGTAAACATGTTCCAGTTTTTTTAATAAAAATATCTTTAGCTAGTTGTAATTTTCTATGTTTTTCTCTTGCTTTGTGTATGTGTGAGTTTGTTTGAGAGTCTGTTGTTATGTTGTCATTTTGTAGTTATTTTTATGGATTCTCTGGCAAACACCTAACTCACACCCACACTCACAGTTGTAATGTGTTTTCTTTAAAGGGGCCATAACATGGCTTCACCACTTTGGGGTTTTCACACTTACTTTCAAATGAACGAATATATTTTTAACACTTATGTACAAATAATTTTTTTTATGTGTGTGTTTGTATATCAATAGAATAAAAATAAAGTTTATTACTTGCAAAAGTCAAAGTTTAGTTTTTTAATCGTTTAATAGAATTTGTGTAGGAAAGCCCATAAAAGCTTTAACACGTTTTACGTCTGAAGAGTTAAATATTTGATGGACTGAAAATAATTTTAAGTTTTTTTTTTAATTTTCTAATAGTGTCCAGGTCGGACTTTTTTAATAATTCGGGATTTGTGTTGAATGTGCTTTGAATACATAGACATTTTTCTTTAGGTGTCTTTAAATGAATAGTTGTCAATGTCCCTGTATGGTAGTCCTTCATTAATATGGCCCTTGCATTTTAGATTTCCGTTTAATTTTGATGAAGATGTTGTCATTCCGTTGGACAAATTTAAATTAAATCTACTTATAAACCTCCATTAAAACTTCTACTTTTTTTTACAACCGTCCATTTTTTTTAATGTTTATTTTTTTAAATCTTGTATAAAAAATAGTAAAAGGGTTTATATTTCCCCTCGAAAAACTATGTTTTAATTTTCTCCAGGACTATTTGATAGTTTTATTTTGTATTTCTGAATAGATATCGGATATCGAATGTTTTATAGAAACCCAAAAACATTCTTCGTTGCTCCCCTTTTTCATATGAGCCTATTTATTCTCCATTTTGTTGTTGTATGAAAAATTATTATTCTCTTTCAATTTTACCACAATTAGCTTTTTTTTTGCTATTAAATAAAAATTTAATTTTCTGTTGTGACCCTCTCTTTCTCTGATATTGGCAAATTTACACAACGCACTGCAGTGAGGGGATATATTGGTATTTTAACCACGATTACTAATATGCTTGTTAATGTACGTGTGTGTGTGTGAATGTATTTGTGCATGTAAAATATTAATTGTACCGTGTTTGTTGGTATACCGCTAACTATAATCAAGTACATGGATTGCATTTATGGCAATTTGCATGGGTGTGCGGTGTACGTGTGTGTGAGTGTGTTTGTGAGTAAGCATTTTTAATTATAACTGCGTTTTATCCATAAAATTAAAACAACAACAACAACTGTGGCACTGACACACTCACACATGATTAAGCAATAATATTATGGTAGGCTATAATGGAGTTGAGACCAAAGTCAAGTGAGGTAGGGAGGGGGAAACACACACATAAAGTGAGAGCCAGCTTTCGAAGACAGGTGGTTTTTCATGTTGAGATTGAAAATTTCCACAACATGACGCTGTTGTTCAAAATCCTGGCATAAAATCGTTGAGCCTCTGCTGTGCATGTAAATTGTGCCTTCCAGCCTTGGTTGGTTGGCGATGCAGTTCACTTGAACTCAAGCATCCGGATGAATATTTCCCTCATGCCATCATAATTAAAATTGATTAAAATTAAATTCCATTAAATTTTTAATTTATTACGATGACATTATTGCGCTCAGCCCATATAATCGGAACAAGGAGAAGTAGTTTATCCTTGAGAAGAAGCAGGAGGAGGAGGAAGTAGGCAGTTGTGTGATTGAAAAGTAATAAATAAGAATTATTGGCTGTAATAAAAGTGAGTGGGAGGGTGAATGGGTCTTATTTTCCTACAAGGTGACATAAAGTGGTTAAGATACTTTTGTAATATAATTGAGACCATTAACGTTAAATACATAAAAATATTAAAGAAAGCAAGTGCGGCCCTTCAAATCTATCAACTTTTTATAATGTCATGTATAGTATTTTTGGTCTTAAAATTGTATTAAGCACGTCAAAAGTATGCAACAGTTTTGAACTTTAACTTACTATGTGATGATAACATACCAACACATAGCTACAATTCTCTTATTTTTTTTAACCATAACTAATGACATTTTTGTCTGCTCTCTGTGTCCTGTCAAGGTGGCAAAGAAAAACAACCAAAAATGCAACAGAGTGGTGTTGAGTCTAATCGTTATTTCACCTTGCTACCGTGCAAATGTACTTCAATTTCCGCCATTTAAATGGAAATTGGAAAGAACGTCGTAACGAATCCTAATGGCAACAACTGTAGCCACAATTGCTACAACAACAACAACAAACAAGAAGTGCAGCAAACAACAAATGCAGTGGTAAATAAAATGTCAATTTGTTGAAATTAATGTGTTTTTGGCCAAGAGAGAATGCCAACAACGAAAAAAAACACCAAAGAGCAAAAGATAGAGAAGAATATAAAAAACGAGCGACAGCAACACTTCTTGTTCCTCTTCAAAGTGTGCACAAGTGGCTGGCAGAACAACAGCAACAAATTGCTGTTGATATTGGCATTGCTTGCTATATGTTTGGAACATATGGTTGGCTGGTTGACTGTGCATATGTGTTACACATCGAAAGTTATCGGTGTTGTTGTTATTGTAGCCTTACACACACCACACTCATTTATTTGCTTTACAATTGCAAATGCACCGAACATTTGCAATTTTATTTTTGCGAATGGCGGTTGGTTTTCTCCCTGCAACTATTGGCCCATTTACACGATTTTCTTTTTATTTTCAATTCAAATTGATTTTTCTGTTTTTTTGCAACATTTCATTCATTAAATTTATATAGAATGTAAAACTGTCACTGTGTGTGTGCGTTTTTTCGTTTTTCATTTATACAATTTATTTTTATATAGAAAAAATGGCAGTGATAAAAATACAGCACTACAATTCATGTGCATTAAGCGTGTAGCTTAACAATTGTTGTTGTTGTTATTACTTGTTCTGTTGTTATTGTTTTTTTTTATACTCCGCTTTTAGTTGCAATTCATCAATCTTTAACAGTAGTGTTGTGTTGTTTGTTTGTTTGTTTGTTGTTGGAATTCACGGGGTTTACTTTATGTCAACAACGACAACATTTCGAAATACTTGCTGCAAATATTTTTTATCAATTTAACAAATAGTTTCTTTTTTCCATTCCCATTCATTAATTTTCTTAGAAGGCAAAAAATGGAAGGAAAAAAGTATGGTTTGTGTGTATAACCTCGCCACTGCTTTCAACTTCAATTTTACCTTTAACTTTTTTTAAAGTTGTTGTTTGTCTTCCTTTTTCGTGCAGCTGTTGATTTTTCAAATGAATTGCACTTTCAAGTGACTTCTTTAGAAGAAAAAAAAAGAAACGAATCGCTAGAAATCTATTAGTCTTTTGAGACACATGCTGCTTTATCTACAAAGCATGAAAAATAGCTTTTCACTTTTTTTCAACTTGTTGAAGACCAACAAAAAAAGTAGGTGTGTATATTTTTCAAAACTTCTCAAAATTAAAAAAAGTTGTTCTTAGATCATACCAGACTGAGATTTTTGTCAAATAAAACCTCCGAACCTTGGCCTACGTTGCAGTTAAAATTAATAAGAAAGGCCCTCCGATTTCCTTGCCTAGAGCTTATGTTTTTATTAAAAAAATAATAATTAATACTCAGACTTTTTCACACACACGAAAAATATTCCAAAATAGCCTGAGAATTTTTGTCTTCCATTTTTTTTCTAAATATAAAAAATTACTACTTAGAATCGATTTTTCTTAACAATAAATGTATTATTATTTATAAAAGCAAATGCTATGAAAGCTTTTATCCATATCCCAGTATTTTTGATGGGGGACAATTTCCTTTAATATAACTTTATACCTATTTCCTACTACTGAGGACTAGTTATTAAAATAAGGAAGTACTTCCCATGGTCTTTACATTTCTCTCTCACTGTGCTCTATTTAGAGTAGTAAACAATTGTATCCTCGGAGTATGGTAATTTTTTATAT